TATTCTAAATTATCTTGCGTTTGACATTTAGTGACGTCGCGCCATCTTTTTGAATTTAAATTACTGTGAGCAATTTGTTTGCCACTACTGACGGTTTTTGAAACTTTTTTGCTTCATGTGTTTTTGATTTTTACCTATTTTACTGCGTTGAAGTGCGTTGAAGTGGGATACATTTTGTACTCTGTGCTGAGTTGCTTGTCAATGGCTAATCGATTTGTCTGTGGACTGGTAATAAAAAGTATAACGAAGTAAGATGGTCAGTTGATCTTACCATTCATCTGCGTTTCATAACTTCCATTATTTTTTTATCAGCTACTTCTTGATTATCTTCAATGGTTTCTATGCAAGCAGGATTGAGCAAAGAAATAAATCATTGAAAAAGTTATTTAGATAAACTATAATTAGTTTTATTTTCATCTAAATGGTAACCCCCTCAAGCTTAGGATTCAGCCTAATGACAATAGTGTTAGATAGAGATTGGTTTCAGAGCCCTTAGAGGAAATTAAACTACTACTTTTTTCTACATATATGATTAATATATGTTTAAAGATTTCCAGATTACCTTAAAGAGCTAATATATTTTAATATATTTCAGTATATAGGGGAAATAGGGGAAATTTTTTAGATGCAAAGTGTAAAAACCATAGATGTAATTGGTCATTAAGATGAAATATTTCCTTTTTTTGCACTGAAAGTGGTGCATGAAATGAGAATTCTATTTTTGCAAAACCTAATACACAGATACATAAATATAGTGTTGTATACTTCAATGTAGACGAAAAGATCTTTCTTTTATAAAATCTGGATCAAAATTGATTAATTATAATTAATGAGACATCACTGTTCAATTATCATCATAAAAATCAAAATTAAAAACGAACTCCTGAAAAGTATTTGTCCTAATGAAATACCACTGTCCTTATTGAGTTATCACAGGACATATTCATACACTAGCATAATGTGTACGCAACTGTATCATACACAAAGCTAACCATATTAGTTGAAAGTTTCATTTAATTTTTTTAATATAAAGGTCATCGAAAAAATACATAAAGCATATTGTATTCCAATTTCACATCATTTTTAATCACTTACTATTGATCGTTTCATTCTTGTAATGGGTAAAATTTTTCTTAGGCTAAACAAAAGAGCCTTGTGTTAAAATCAAAGTTGTTTATGAGATAAACTCTTAACCTAAAAAACATATGTAAATCTTTTATTGTTGAACATTTTCAGTAATATCCATTTAAAATCTAGGATACATAACTTTTTAAAGTATTCTAAGTTCTTTTCTCAATAAATTCTTTGTTAATTTCAGAATTAATAATCATTTTATATTATTTTCAATATGACTGATGTTTCATAAATTCTTACGTCTCTTCTTTAGGTTTGCATTAAATTTTACACCTATTTCCAAATGAATAATTTTCAAACTGTAGATAAAGGCGTTCCTTTTCTTGAATACATTCCGTGAAACTATAAACAAGCAAGTTTGTTTGAATGAAAATACAACGAAATATATATTTTTTGTCAATCTGAAAAATTTTATTAGGTGGATGCCCTTTTAAATACTAGTAATTTGTTACTACATATTATGTTTGTAGCTACAAATCAAGTCATCAAAACAAATAGAATTAGATATCTTCCCCCTAAAAGATTCTTTGTTTCGATTATGAAATCAAAAAGGTAATTAGCAAAATTTAAATTAAAAAAAGACAAGATGAATTGAACATTGATACATTTTGTTTTAATTATTCAGTTGCTAAGCGTTGGCACGTTACACCATCACCAGACAAACTAAAGAAGTTTTTAAAAATATGAAGAAAATCAAAAGTATCCATGATAATTTTCAATAATTATATATATATATATATAATTTTATAACAGTGAAATCATTTTTCCCTTGTTATTGTTACTGGCTAGAATTAAAAAGAACTTTCACATTAACTTGAATGTGATATTAATGCAGAAACGGCACTCCATTCAATAGTGGCAACAACTAACAACGTAGTTTTAAATGTTTAACGAAGTAATGAGTATACTGAAACTAATTTCATGCTGACCTATTAATAATCCTAACCATCTTTATAAGTGATAACTACTCAAGTAGAAAGTTAATTAATCTGTCTTTCAAATGAAATTTCAAATTTACAGTTAATAAACATAAAATTTATTTTATAACTAGAAAGATTTATTGAAATACATGATATTATTCTTGACTGGATTCGATTACATGTATACTTATGCAGATGGCTATGTCAGTCATTCAAAAACTATCTACTAGCACTTTTCAATTGGAATCAATACGAATTTGTGTTTTCTATCAATAGAAAAAATATAGTTAATGATTTAAAATTATTTATGTAAATGCACAATCGGAAATGTAGTATTTTGAAAAGACAGTTAATATCAATCCAAAACTATATATTTCAACTTGTTATTATTACTATTCTTATCTGCTTTTAAACTATTGAAGAATTGAAAACGAAAAAGACATCCCAAGAACCATTATTGTGGATATCGTTTCCATAGAAAACTATGTTTTATGATCAATACTGACAACAGAGTAAATTATTCTATCTTGATGACAGGAAAATAGATCACTATTAGTTACATAGAATATAAAATAAAAGTTATACAAACTAAGAAACAGTGGCAAAAACTTAGCTTTTTTTGAATTTGGTTATTTTTTATATACAGTAAGACACTAACTTGGCCCAATAAGAATAAAGTTAACGTTAAGCTAATATGATCAACCTATTGTAAAGCAAACAGTAATCGTTTTTTCTTAATCAGAAAAAGACTTCACATCATCAAGTTATTTTTTACAAAACTTATTATCGTTACAAAAAGGATATTAGTTTACAGCCAATTAATGCACTAGTTCTAAAATTATTAAGTGGAATCATGTTTATTATTGAAAGTCAGTATTTTAAACTCAACTATGATTTGGATCTTACCCTATCTTTTAACCATATCCGAACAAATTACCTATTTTGAAATCTCTTAATTTATAAGTTGACACAAATTTTTGCATTTCCAAAGTAAGATATATTTCTTAGGATGCCTTTAAAGTATTTTACAGTTTTAAAGATTCCCATTGTTCTAATTTTACAGTTTATTGATACAAGTTCAAGCGTCTTATGAATTAAACAAAATAATTGCCTAGTTCATCTAAATTGAATGCAACGTTTTTTTTAATATTCAAGTTTATGGTAATTAGCATATGATTGCTTTAACTATATCAATAAAAATATTCCCATTTGTAATGAGGGGCAACAAGGCATTAACTATTTCGTTCTGTTGATAATATTCATAACACAATCTTCATTGTTAGAATTTTTCATTCATATTTTGAGCAGAAGAATGGCGAAATCAAACGTAGATTTGACATTAACAAGTAAAAAAAGTGACTATCTCATCATTCTTTTCAAACGAAATATGATTTTAAATCACTTTACAGTCACATACATACTGCCAGTGCTAGTAAATAATAGACTTCGAGTTTGATCACTTCTGCATCTATTTTCAAAGTTGACTACTTATACATAGACAGCTTCACAAGAAGAACGAATGTCAGAATCTATGAGAAGGTTTCAAACGATTTTCTGTAACCAACAACTTATTCGAGTAGTGTTAAGCCTACACTACCGTTTACAATCACATTAATGTGATTGCCAGTTAACTTGCTCTTGAGCAATAGGTTATAAAGTTTAAAAGAGTTCGTTGTTTCAAAATATCTACAAAGTTTTAAGTTTATTGTTTTATCTCATCCATCACCTTATTGTGTAGCTGATCGAAAACATCAGTTTGCGGATAATTATTGTCTTCCATCAATCAGTATGGAGAATTTTTTTCCAAAACAACGAAGCTGTAGTTGCATTTTTTAATTTCCTTGTATGATATACAATTTGTGCAAGTCACTGATTAACAATAATTTCCATGCAGAACTCATGGATTGTCTTCTTTCCTAAACTAAGTCGGAAAAATACTATGTCCCTGATTCCGCTCTTTTCTTCCCAAGTTATTGAAACCAATGAATTCAATTATCAATAATTCAATAAAAGTACTTGCTAATACTTACCCTGTGTAATAGTGTCATTATTACAAACAATTAGTCACGAGGATACAATAAAAATAATTCAACTTTACTAAAAAGACGTGCTAATGTTTAATTTTTGATAAAAAAAAAGAATGCCTTTTTTCGCTTAAATAAAACGTTAATTTACTAATCAGCTTAATTCATTTGTAGTAGACATAAGATTTATCCTCTGAATGCTATTTCTAATTATTTTATTGCCGTTATAAGAATATTCGATCCTTATCAGCAATATATATACATATATATTTTCTTCTTCTAAACAGCTCCTAATGTATCATTGGAACTGTGCTTAGAAATCACTCATTTTGTTTATCGTTTCCCAAAAAAATGAAGATATCCTAGTTAACTAAAAAAATATTTTAGATATGTTGCAGCTGTTATTTTGTTCGATACTTGATTACACTTTCCTCATAAACTGATGGGCTGATTTAGAAAGCTAACAGAGAGGTATCATTTAACCTTTTGTTTGTTTACAATGCCTCATTGTAATTACTGACCGTTTTTAAAGAAACGCAAACCTGTTCATTAAAAAAAACTATCTATTTATATTACAATGAAGATATCATCTTGCGGTAAACTGACTTGATATCCTCACCAGATCAATGTATGGAATAGAAAGAAACAAAAAAACAGGTTTCTTTTGCCTCAGAAGTCATTCTGCTTTGGTTTATGAATTCAATAAGTTGCTATTCACCGACTAGAAAAGGTTTTATAGTTGTATTATATTGAACAACTTTTCACACTTTTTGGAAGTGTAGCTTTCGGAAATCAACTGAGTAGTCTGACTTTGAGATAGACAGCTATAAGAATAAATGATGGAAAGTTTTAAGTTTTCGATATGAGATAATTATTTTTATGTATATATGTCTATAATTCTATGTATCTGATGTTTTCACAGGTAACACAATTACTTGGTGATTCTAAAGAAGAAAAGTTTGATATTCAAAATATTCCATGTATACATTATTGGAACTATTTAATGGCTTTTATTATATTGACTTTTGGATTGATGGTAAGCTATTGTATGCATGAACTTATAGCCTTCGAGTTGGGTTTTTTCAAGTATATAAATACTTGTCAATTCAATAAATCAAACGTTTAAACTATATTCCTGGCTAGTGATGATTAAAAATAGATTTTAGGGCAGTGTTGATATTCGAACAGACTAAGCATTCGACGATGACAATCAAAGAGAACATGTGGTTGTAGTAATATTGCTAATATCATTTACAAACTTCTCAAACAAAATTGTTCATTCAGGACAGATGATCTGTGCTCCAACGAAGATGGAGTCACACTCACTTCCTCCTGAAATTTGTTTTTTACTATATTTCGTCGAAAGTTTAATTGTGATTCTCAGTGTTTGATTAATGATAATTTTTAGACCAAATAATCTCTTAGTCGTATATTTTGTATTTCTGATTTAGTAAACTTCACATAAATAACATTTATGTACATTGAAATAATGTAGCATTCCATGGTCTGTGCGTATATGTATATATGTACAGGGCGAGAAAGATTATGACGAATAATAAATTATCAAACATGACCGACCTCATGAATACCACATTATGTTCCAATACATAAGTGTCATTTATGTTCGATGACACAAAATGTCAGATTTTGCAAATCAGAGATGCGAACTATGAGATAAATATATATATTTACTTGAATAAGGTTCGTTTCAAGCAGATGAATATAATCTTGATGTCTGTTCATAAGGAATTTCACGAAATTAGTTCAGTTGCATAATTTATATCCATATCACATGTTACTGTGGATTTCCCGTTGTTTACAAAACAAAGTATTTCTGTTATTTATAGTAATATGTAATGTAAAACAATCATTTAATATACATAATAAAATTTCATAAAGAATGATAATCTAAATAGTCAGTTTAATTGAAAAAATTGAGACGAAGTAAAAAAAACTTCTTGTTTACATTATGCTCTCAATCACTGTGACGCTATCTAAGTTCCAGTGGATGTGAAACTTCTCGTATTTAGCGGCTCACGACTGGACTCTGGTGTTGACGAACGATCGAGTGTGCAATGAAATAAATCTTCCTCTTCATTTACGTATATCATACTTAGGCATATCCCGTTTGTGTGACAGTGGTAATAAGAAGCTAAATACGGTTTACCGGATGAATTTATTTCATGCATTCATTTGAGCAGACAGACATGAGAATGAAAGGCGTGCAGGCAAAGCGAAGCAAATTATAGAAGGCTAGTGAGCCAACTCTCCGCCTTAAAGCAATGACTAAGTATTTATAGTCAGGCGATAAGAAGCTAGACATGTGATAAGCGAGTAAGTATGCACGCACGCAATCAAATGTACAACAATCGATACTATTATCGAATAATTTAAACGACTAATCATTAAAGTACAAAGAATAACTGGTGAGATGATACATTTCCGATAGTTTCCAAATTAGTTTCATTAAGGAATTTCAATTTTCACATCATGTTCCTCAGAGCTTCTACTGTATATTTGAAGTTGTTGTGATTGTGTTCAAGGTTATTTCACAAATAACTATTTCTACAGTGAAATTTTCTAAATAATCAGAAAAAATTGAAACACTGATATTCATCATCATGACATGCTTGTTCATGATTTCAAATTCTAGCGTTATTTTCAGTTATTTATCCATTCATTGATAGTGATTATTCACTTCATAGTTCGTATAGTATGCCACCTTTAGTTAGACAACCACTGAAAACTAGAATGACCTGAAAAGAGACTTCATCCTAGCTTGTGAACTTGTATGATAAAATCGACGACTCTCATACCTCACGGTTTTGTTGGCTTTAATGGTTATTTAATTTAAGTCCGTCTATGGTGTAAACTTCATAAATCTGCTAACTGAACATTAATAGTGAACACCTAAAAAGCAGTTTACCTCAATCTATGTTGTCTACCTCATAAAACGATTATAGTTAACTTTTTGAACATTTAAATAGTTATATTCATTTTCTCGCAGACAGAATAAAAATATTCAATAGAAGCAAATGTTGTCTATGATTAAACCAGAATATATATAATGTGATATACATTTGTTTATGTTCGAAATTTTAGATAACATTGATCACACGATAGCTATATAAAATACTAGATGGATTATTCAGACATTAAAATTAAATAATAACAACAGATCTTATCTAAAAATTAAACATTCAGATATGCGTATATATCATTTCAAGCAAGCAAATTTATCGTCACGCTATGCTATCGTTTATGAAGCAACTTATTTTAGAGAATATTAACTTCATTATCACGACTGCACAATTATATATTGAAATAGCCTCTATAAGCAAACAATATTATCAGATCGTCATCTGGTCGTAATAAATATTCCTATGAAAATATTAAACAGATCAAGACAGTTTATGAGTTGGTGATAAAGTGGGATAGATTACATGGATAATTAACAAAGAAAAACTAGGTATTGATAGTGTGACGATAGGTGTACTAGTTGTAATAAAAATAGCAAAGGCTTAAATCTATGTTTCATAATCGGAAATCGGTCAATGACTTGGATAACTAGAAACTGAAATAACAATTATTTAAATGAGTGAAGAAAAATAAGGGAACAGTGATAAGAAAATAATGATGGTAATAATAATAAGTAGAATCATTAAAAGTACTGTTAGATATTAGTTGTCAGAGGGATCCAGGATCCACGTTTCGTCCTATCTGGCATTCCTCAGATAAATGAACCTGCATATCAGTGTTCATGTTCACTCCGGCAATCTGGTGGAGTGACTTTCGCTTTAAACTATATCATGTTGTTTACTTAGCTACTGAATGCACATGTTCACTAGCTTGTTTAATTGGTTGCGTCCCATGAGGATTGTTTCACTATTGCCGTTAAGTCAAACATTAAACTGCTTATAATGTTTGACGGTGAATATCACGTTGCACAAATTAATATTTACTATCAACGACTAATCAGTTGCAATCCTAAACATCAGTGCGAAAATTCAAACAACTAACTAGCTAAGGATAAACGATATCCTACTATGATGATGATAAAAGAAACCGACGAAGTGTAGAACGAATGAAATGAAAACTTTTCGATGTAAAAAATTAACTGAGTTTAAACATGTTAACCATCAGACGCCATCTTACTGGATAAGTGCTATGATTACTGGATTAAATTTATTAGAAAGTATGGCTTGGCTATTTCGGATAGTACGAACTAACTGTAGATCTCTTTAGTTTGCAATACTTTTTCAGTGGATAAGAGCCGATGAAAAAGTTCAGTTAACATTTTATTGTTGGTTATGGATGCTGTAAAAATGGTCACTAATCAAATAATATCAAATTTTCATTTGTTGATTTCTGACGTTACATTATCGTACACTATTTTCTAATAATAATCTTTTTTTTTGAACTTTGCAGCTGATAGGATTTCCAACACCTTATGGTGATTGGTTTCTTCGGAGATTATTTCCAATCTTAGATGACGATGATAATTCAATATCAAATGAATCTTGTGGTATACAAAGAGCATTTAATTCACAATTCATTTATAAACATTTTGGATGCTTGCATATAAGTAAGTTATCTTTTAAATTATGTTAATTAATTGTTTGTGGTGTAGCAGTTTTATTTATTGAACCTTCAAAATTATCTGTACAAATCAGCAGAAATAAAGCTCATAAAATATTCACCATGCTTTTGATGACCAAAATATTATTATGTGCTTCAACGTCTAAGGACGTAAAAAACGCCCATATAGTGAATTTCACTCACGAAATTCATACTTCATACACATATGTCATTTTTTTAACTGAGACTGATACAAGATAATATGAATTCATTTTATTTCGCAAGGTTATCCTCAGCTGCTCATAGCATTTGTCCTCCTCCTAGAGAATTTTTAGAAGCTTAGCACTCAGGTCAATCAGCAATCGATAAAGACATCGACATTGACCCAATTTATCAACCAATCAGAAAAATCATAGGTGACATAGGATCAAGAAACAATCACAAGAAACGTGCAAACAACCGCAGGTTTAAGGTCAACAACAACCAATCAATATAGAAGTTGGCAGAACAAGCTACAGGTCAAACGTGGAGAAATTCGAATGCTTCATTTCCATTTGAAGTTTGCGCTGATGATGTTGTTCAGAAGAACAATGAAAGCTCCTCAACCAAAACAACCAGCTCAGAGAACGAAACACCACCACAATCATTCACCTGAGCTACAAGTTTTCTCCCCAATCTTATAATATTTTCAAATCAAAATTGTCATAAAAATTGACATACTCATAAGTACGAAGGTGATTAGCGATGTATATGTGTATCATAATGTAGCGAAAATTCCAATAAAGATAATGAGCTCATAAAAATCTGTTCAGCTTCATACAGTGTGAGAAAGAAGGTTTCACAACATCGAACTAATGATTAAAATCATAGATCAGACAAACTAAGAATGGTTGTGTAATGGAGTGAATGAAATGGGATTAGTAGTTATAAAAAATAACATTAACAAAAATGGAAATCAGTCAGTTAGAATCAAAATTATGAGTTCTAGAAAAATAAAAGTGGTGTAATCAAAGCATGAGAGATTTGAGATAAATAAAATAAAAAACAATAAATAAATAAATAAGTATTACTGTTTCTTTTTGAACATTTTTATTAGCTTTTATACATCTGATAGTTATGGCTCTGGAGAATTTCATAAGATGAGGACCACTTTAAGAGACTTTAGTGTTTCTACTTGGTGTCCTGTATCAAGGAAGATGTTTGGAGATCGAAATAATGATAGCCTTTAATCCATAGGACTTCAGATTTTTTAGAATATGTTCTTTGAATCGGATGTAAGTTCGTCTTTCCGTTCTACCAATGTAACTGCTTTGGCAGATACATTTGAATTTGGATATACAGTAGGCGGTAACATTGACTTTGATTGTGTTATCGAATATGTTTTGACCAAAACAATCAACTTAGCAACAAGATATGTCCTTGTCAGTGCCGTTTTTAGTTTTATTTTGATTGTCTCTGTAAAACCCTCGAGTTTGAGTTGATTAGTGATGGGTTTTTTGTTTACTGTGGTTCTTTCGAGTTTTTTATCTTCACGTTTCCAGTATTTTTCGCTGTCCGTTGTTCTTGAAACATCTTAACAGTTGTTAGTTCCTCTTCTAGTGAACAGACAGTGCACATTCTTCCTGTTCTGTGAAATATCGTTATAATCAATGCGTTTTCGTAAATTAACGGATGAAAGCTATTAAAACTGATGTAAATTCCATTCCATATATCTCTCCTATAACTGAATGTAGGACTGTACCATCCTTTCTCCGTTTTATTAAGAGATGACGAAAGTGAAACGTGTTTTCATTCTTATTTTTCATAGTTAAACTTCGCTGAAAAGTTTCAACAGATTTATCCTATACAATGAAAGGGTGATTAGCGTACCTCGAATAATACAACAACATTTCAATCGATTGCTCCACAAAGCTTGGTTCTTTCGAGATTAGACATGAAAATATCTGTTAGGATAGGACGAATTTCACACATATTTATCTCTAATTACCTTCGTATTTAAAAGCATGTCAAGTCTCATGATAATTTTGATTTGAAAATATTATAGGCTATAAGCAGCAGAGAAGAACCTTTATAAATAAAATGAATTCATATTATTCTGTATCAGTCTTTGTTTACGCTATGTTCAAAACCATATTTTATAACCAGATCAAGATGTCAACCAAACTCTTTGCATGGATAAAACTTAATCCGTTTAAAATACAAAAAAATTATCATATCTGTTTATCTGTTTAGTTTTAAAATAATGATATGTCATTACCAACTGCTTAATATCATCATTTTTCATCAGAATTGTCAACAAAAGTCACTGATACATTTGAAAACTTCATATTTCTAATACGGACTGACAATCAAGTATTAATTTCATTGATCTGTTAATAACTAAAAGATCTTGTATTCTACAATCTTTTTAGTTGCAAATGACTGCTAATTATGTCTGTATTAATATCGAAGGTTCAGTGTGACTTACTAGAGAAAAAACTTATTTCACTGTACTGCCTCTTATTGATGATTGAATCCATGATACAGTTTTTAAAGCAGCTATAATTGTATAGCTTCTTTCAGTTACCTCACTTGTAGAATGGAATATACATTTAAAGCATTTTCAAATGAGAAGTAAGCGTCGATAAAAGATGGGAGTGATTTTCTTACACAGACAAATTGTGGTAAATTATTTCAGAGTCTCGAAAACTTACTGACAAAGTAGTTAATGCAAAAAGAAGATTTAGAATGAGATTATTTCACCAAAGATAAAAAGCTATGAATTTCTGCATATTGAATTGATCAACTGGATATAAGAGATGGTTTATAAAATGATTAAGTTTCCTAATCCATAGAGGGTCTAGTCAAAGTTTATTGTATTTGGATTTGTAAGTTAAAATATAAGCAGACCCAAGGATACAAAGTGTAAATTATCTGTTAATGGATTCCAGCCTTAATTATTTCTTTCTATGAATACCACTAAAATGTAGTCGAACACGTACTTTGTGCATTAAAATATGTGACTCATTGTTTTAGAGGTTACGCATTATGAAACCTGGAAGGCGTTGAGATTGGTAGATCTGTATGAAGACCTGCTCTGAGAAGGAAAATGGTTGCTAGGTGTACCTGAGTCCTACATCCAACACTGCATGAAACTTTGATAGCACCTTACCGTTTATGTGTAGGTATAGGTTGAGCAAATACATCCACACTCAGTCGTGTTAAGCTCCAATTTTAGTTTTGAGATTCACTGGGCTAGAATGTTGATCCCCAAACTAATACAGTATTATATACTGTTTAACCTTATCTCCAGATTTATTACTTCATATGGTGTATGAAGTTTTCCAGTGGTAAGGGTAAGCACTAATTTCCATAAACAGAAAGAGAGTGAATAGCTTCGGGAGAAGTAGTGGAATATCAGATCCACCACATTTGTAGTGAATGGATGGAATCCTGTCTACTTGACGGCTGTTCAAGACATTAAGAAAGTTCATAGCTTTACAAATTTCCAGATAAGTGAAAGGAGTTGGACTCAATATTTAGGGATTCAAAAAATTAGCAAGAATCAAAAGCTTTGCAACGGTTTTAGAGTTGTTTATAAATGTGCCACCATGTGGTACTGACGTTAAAAATGCATTTTGAGATTGGCTAGTTGTTGAATAGATGAAGAATTTAGTTACAAGCACAACAGAGTAAATGATTTTCACATACATACTTTTCGTCCGTATTCTAATTGACATCATTAGTCATTCAGGTGAACTAAGTCAAAATTACTTTTTCTAAAATCACATAGTTATAGGTTTTAAACTCCGAGTGTTTTCAAAGATATTCAAATTGCTGATAACATTAATTTTTCAATAGCTTCCATTTTTTTTCCACATCTCATATTTTCTTGTCTTATTTATTCGTTTATAGTTATCGCTTCCGGCATGTTTTATTCCCTTTTGATGGTCAAAATAAACGGAATTCATGTATCACAGTTATTATCTTCTGCTTATTCATTGACTTTTGTGGCAGGTAAATCATAGAAGTTTGATTTTAATGATTTAATCGTTTTTCGTAAAAAATGATATTTGACATAAATTGACACCATTTTGAGTATCATTAAAAATAATGCATCCTTATTTCGTCATAATCGTAAGTTCCTCAGTTATATTTCCCGATTAGAAACCATGAAATGAGCCCAAGAAATGCATATCTTAAGCAAGCAAGACCAACGATTTGTCTAACTCGAACAAATTTAGTATGATTCTCGGTGACCGACTAATACCGTCACAATAACTGTCTCAATCTCAACATGGTCGAACTCAATCAGTCATAAATTCCAGCTAGAACGTTGGAATTTTTTGAAGCTAGTCACTGATGAGCACATAATCATTCAAAAAATATCGTTTTTATAAGTTGTTTTGAGTTACAGATAGTTTTTGGTTTTAATCGATATCAGATGAGGTTCCATCGTTTCGCTGCTTCATTTGATGATTTAGCTTAGTCAGACAAAGCGTATAATCAGTTAGGAGGTTGTTTTATTAGGCATATAATTTCTGTGTTTATTTATCATATGAAAAACTGCCGAAAATACTTAACATCATTATAAACTACTTTGGTGAAGTTTCGTTTTCTGAGCTAGATGGTTTAATAGTCAAGCTTTCACTATCCGTTCGAACAACGTAATCAGCAAAAACTGGCACCTTGCCTTGTCAGCCTTTTACTTTCACGATCAAATCAATCATCTCAGAGAAGGAAACCTACCGAAAATTAATCGCTTGAATTATAAATCTTTTCCCTCGTCTCAATTTACATTATACACCATGGTCTAGATTGGTGTTTATTTTGATGAGCAGAATTTTACCATAAAAAGTAAGGGAAAGACTATCATTAAAAAATTTCAATTTACCAGTCTCTTTTTAAACTATATAAAATTCCCTAATATAACTTATTATCAGTCAAACTAATAATCACTTAATCTGGATTTAGTTTTACGTGACTTGTAATGCAACTGACAATTTGTTCAAGCCAAAAAATAACTTGTTTTATTTCATACGCTACAAATATTGTAAATGAAGTGAAAATGATCTGTTTTTCTTACTGTTGTGTAAAATACAAAAAAATAAACTAGAAAATTCGTATTTTTAATTTGTCTAGTTTTATGTCATAGTTTATGATAAGAGGGCTAAAAAGAAAAACAATTTCAAACAAATATTGGATAAGTTTTGACTAAGTGTAAACAGTTCAATATTTTTACAATGCTACTTAACTATGGAAAGACGTTGTTTACAAATATCGTGTAAAACATCATTATATTAATTTGTTTACAACTGTTAGCGAGAAATCTTCATTTTATTTTTGTTTTAATTTTAATTTTCGAATCACTCTTCATCTCTTCTCAAACAGCTCATTTTTTAACAAACCAGTGGAACTGGGTAGTCTACATTTACACCGCACTAACCATAACTACTGTTATATTCCATATAAAACTTCTAAAAATACGAGTCAAGGAATGGATAATAACATGTAAACATTATATTCTTACAAAATTATCACCTCGAAATACATATCATTCATCAAATGAGATAGCCAAATAAATTAAATCTTGAACAATTTTGAATTTTGTTTGAATAAACTTTTTAGTCAGTTAAATTTAGTAACGAAATAAGCAACAGTACACATTAACTAGAATGTATTATTCATCCTGAGTAATTCAACTGAATAAAAAAGACAAACGATTAACTTTTCCCAAACACAAAATTAAAGCGAAATGGAAAGGAAAAACTAACAGAATCTACATGTTTCAGTTATGTTCAATATCTTTCAAACATATACAAAACTCTTGATGCGCCCATTCCAAAACTTTGTATTTAATAGAGCTATTGAGTATGAAAATCGAATTCGCCAGCAAGATTTCTTTTGGAATATATTTTAAAGAATTGTACTATATTGCTGTTTCCCTTCATTTTCATCACATTTAAAAAAAAGTTATTACTTCATTACATAAATTCAAAATACACTTTGGATGAAACCAATTAGAGTGGAATTAGAGAAAAATTAGCATTTTCATCAAAAACTCTTTGAATTGCCAATAGTTCAGTTTAAATTTGATTAGAAAACACTAAATGTTTCATCACCCGACATTCTGATTTGTTCACTTTCAATATTCACCTAATTTGTACGCACATCATTTTAATAAATAACTTGTGTATTTGATCAGAAAATCTATTGAAAAAATAATGTTGTCTTTTATGTTTGCATCATGAAGTGAATGAGATTTAAAAATCTCTTCAATTCACCTAAAAATAAATCCAGTTCCTTTATTCCTTGCGTAAGACAAAATAAATTATGTTTCAGCTAAACCAATGGAAGATTTTATCAGAGGTGTTAGTTGAACACTTAACTCTTAGTTCAATGGGAACAAATTATCGGGCTATATCAAAATGTGCTTTGATATAGGATTGCTTTTAAAGGCAGTCTATGAGAAGATAATGAGCGGAAAACTTAATATTTTCAAGCACTTTGAATAAAAGTTTTGTTTTTTGTTCAAAAAAAGATTATGTAAATTTTTCATCCGATGACTGAAGAAAATTCTTCTTGTTAAATCCCCATCAGGTCCTGCAATTATACAACCAAGTTAATGATTGGAAAGAACGATTAGGTTTAAGAAAAATACATCATTCAAAATAAAAGCATAAGAATTTAGGATTGTTTGCAGAATAAAATAGAATTTATAATCTTAACTTGTATGCAATATCAACATGTATAAGCTTATATCCCTAATAAAATCTGAGATTAATCGTCATAATCATTGTAGATAACAAGAGTGAGAAAAATAATCATGTAATTATAAATCAAATCAAATGATTAGTTGCAGATTACTCAATGTATCAAATGATATGCATTCAGTAAGAAATAGTGAATTTGATTGATTGTTAATGAAATCTTTATAATTATAATCCTTATCAATTAATCCTTATACTAATGTATAGATAAAGGATAATAATCCAGAACTTCGACTACGCACAAGGAAGAACTCGAATTCGAAGCATGCAGTATGAAATTGTAAAGTATAGTTATACCAGATTTAAACACAACACAAAATATTTGATTGCGCAGCAAATGTGTTTATTATTGACCACATGGTGGTACGAAACGTGTAAATAATGATAACAATAATATTTGAATAAAATAAAATTGGTTGATGAAATACAAACGAAGTGGCTTTAATGTCCGTTAGTCAAGTCATGTTATGTGATAATTAAAATGACAATTGAATTCTGATATATGAACATATTTTTTATTGTAAACAAAGCTCCAATTTATTCATCTGAATAACTATTGCTTTGAGTATGACACATTTTAGCAGGAGACTGACTTATGGTACAAATAAAAACCATTAGAACTAAATGGTTGAATAGTAAGCTGTTAACGATCTTGACTTCACTTTAGTTAGCTATGCCAGGTGCTCAATAGCATAAAAATGTAATATAACATAACAGCTATTTTCAGGCTCAATGGCTGCAAAACTTAAAAATCTGAGATTGCTTTCAAAACTATTATGCAAAAGTGGGTGGCCAAATTCTTAAATGACTGGTTAAAGTTTAATTTCACCTTAAGAATAAACTAAATTAGTTTCAGATGATCTCTTTAAAACTGAAACATTATTCTACGTAGCATTATATTCTTCAAATGCTGATATATTTCTGTGCTTACTTGACTGTTGTAAGGAGCTATACACAGAAATGACCTCTATATTTTCATCATGACTTCTGGTAAGTTCATAAGAAACATTTTGCAGTGGCTATGTTGACTTTGTGCTGGAAATATGTACTTCATATAGTTAGGTTTATATAGACCGTTGGCAACAAAGTTGCAGTATTAGATCAACTGGTTTTGTTTACTCGTGCCTATATTCGGTTCTCTGGCTCATATAGGTCCATTTCGGTTAAACCTCGCCGTTGACCGATGTATATGTGTTTGTGATTGGTTCAACAACAGTGAAAAGAATAAAAAAATAAAAGTGTTATACACAGGAAGGACGTAAGGGTAATATTTTATTATTTGAACATACTAGTCTGCTAACGAACCTTTAAATATAAAGTGACTGCCATGAGTGACGATACTTAAGGTCCTTGAAACAAAAAAGATGTAACTTGAATTCCTTGTAGATTGGTGAGTAAAGTTTCAGCTAGTACTGCTTATAAGTACTACTTCTGGTCATTTAGAATGTGAATCAGTAAGAACTAAAGCATATCTTGAGTTAAGGAGTGGTCGCCGATAATCAGCATGAATACATTAACATTGTTCATATGAAGCAGGCCAAGAATTCCAAGTTTATTGTATGACAGTTTATGTAAGCAAGAAGGACAGTTTTTCCATAGCTGATCGATACTGACATAGATCTCAGGCTACCAACAAAGCTGATGAACTAACGATTACATTTTCCCTGCTCCTAGATGGGCGGAGTGAAAATCATCTAATGCTGCAATAAAGCACAGAAAGCCTTCAGAGTAGTCAAACTCGAAAAACCTATACTTCCAGTGAACATTCCGAATCCTTTTCATTGCACTTATAACAGTCCAAAAGTACTTACGAGTATCCTTTATAGGTTCCACTTTATCAACATGCAATGGTCAAACCTACATACAACTACTTTCGTTGAATGGCCTTTCAAATTATGGATACTTTGGTAGGAAGATACATCTGTAATGAGGATATATTTTTAAGCTAATGAACATGGTCTGGTAAAGGCTTCACCATTTAAGAACTGTGAAATGTTTCTCAGACTATCCTCGTGTCAGTGCTTTAATATAAACTGTGCTAAAAACCAAGCCAAAAGTGACAGTAATATTTGTGTCAAGTTAGGAATAAACCAATCGTGAAATTAAAAAGTACTGATCCAAGAATTGAGCACCAAAATATTTGGAGGTGGTGGGGTTTACATTAGTGCAGGTAGGCGACTTTTATTGGATTTTAAATCTACCGCTCCAGGAATCGCTATTCGATTCACGTAGGCTACAATTAATCGATACTTCGTCGAATATTAAATCGAAGGTCTGTAACGCTCCGACAGATGTGTAGTGAATCAGTTGTGCATTTTTTTGGTTCATCACTTATCTTATGTTATATTTGATAAATTCCTTAAAGTAACCAATTCGAGGAGATTCTACCAGTGATTAATTATCAGGTAAGCCAGATCGTCAACCTCATACCCCCAGTAACGGTAAGACCTCGCCGACTGGCGCTGGACAAACTAGTTTCCGCTGGAGGTGAGTTTATCAACTTGCTTGTTATGTGTATTATTTCGCCTTTCTCACACTCCTTGAGCCTCCCCTCTCTACTCGGTCCGCAAAAACGATGGTGTTAATTGGAGACCATGCAGCGATTACAGAGCAGTAACGGCGGATATTCAATGTTCCGCTTGTGAACTTGTATACCGCACGACATTACATCTGCTCAGGGAATTTTTCACACAACGGAGTAGTGATTATTTGTGTCTCAGATAACGCTCAACGACTATCTGAGTACATGCGAACACTGCCTCCGGTGTCAACTCGAATATAGCATCGACAGGATGCTCTCCCTCGACAGTTATTTACCTGTCCACATGCTTTCATACGAGTAGATTCGGTACGCAAACTTGTGCAACAGCATTATGAAGGACTTTTAATATAATCTCTCGTCACGAAAAGACCTTCAAGGTTGTTCGACACGGTCAGCATTGATTGTCTCAAACCAGCACGCGTCGATGACAGTGCCCTATTCGATAAATCGAGATTCAATGTCAGACCTGTCCAACACACTAGCGGGATCCGAATATCTCCTTGGTATCCCACATTAGATACCTCAGAGACCTCATTCTCACCTCGCAGTAAACGGCACGCGTCATCTGCACTATCTACGGATGAGACTTCAGTTTCACGTCCAGACCAGCAGACCATGTCACTCTTGACTCAAGACAAGATTGCAGTCTAAAGCTCTCAAACACGAAGTACGGAGGAGATTATCGTTTCACTTTCTGGTGGCCGAGTTCGCCTACCTGTATGCTTTCGCGTCTAACCCCTCAATCAGCGAAGGACACAGTACAGAACCTTATTCTCATGCTACGTGTATGCTACAGCACTCTCCTTTTCTTTGATTTTTTTATCCTGCGCCCACGCCTCTGACCATCGCCCTGTTGGCACCATTGATTTCAGTCAATTTTTGCAAAAGCTGACCTGATCATTCACACTCTTGTTATCTCACGCAGTCAATATTTTGGTTCCTAATATGTCTGGCATATGTTTGGTTTCGAAACTACTTGTTATGGTTGACTCTGATCTCTTGGCTTGATCTGGTTCCATCGTACGTCTGCAGAGATTTTTGGGCCAAACCTTTATGAACGCAATGTTGCGGTTCCGGATACGAACCACTCTGGTGTGGCATGCCAACTCGAGCATCAAACACGGCACGTAGCTCCTGGTACCGTTCTCCGTCAAAGACTTTCAGTGACAACTCGAGCATCGTTGATCGTCAACTCCTGTCCTACAATCACACATTTTACCTATCACTCATTCAAACGAAGCCGCTACGTATCGAAAGTGCAAACCCTTTC